TGCACCATTGCACTCCAGCCTGGGCAACAAGAGTGAAACTCCATCTCAAAAAAACAGAAACAAAACTAAAGATACAGAAAAATATTTCATTTCTTAGATGTTCCCCACAGTTTATAATAGTAAAAAATGAGGAAAACGTCCAAATGTCAGAGCAAGCAACCAATAAATAAATTAAGAGATAGCTACTCTGGCTGAGCACAGTGGCTCACACCTGTAATCCCAGCACTTTGGGAGGCCAAGGCAGGTGGATCACATGAGGTCCGGAGTTTAAGACCAGCCTGACCAACATGGTAAAACCCCATCTCTACTAAAAATACAAAATTAGCTGGGCATGGTGGCACATGGCTGTAATCCCTAATGCTCGGGAGGCTGAAGCAGGAGAATCGCTTGAACCCAGGAGGCAGAGGTTGCAGTGAGCTGAGATTACGCCATTGCACTCCTGCCTAAACAAGAAGAGCAAAACTCTGTCTCTTTTTTTTGAGACAGAGTTTCGCTCTTGTTACCCAGGCTGGAGTGCAGTGGCGCGATCTTCGCTCACCGCAACCTCCGCCTCCTGGGTTCAGGCAATTCTCCTGCCTCAGCCTTCTGAGTAGCTGGGATTACAGGCACGCGCCACCATGCCCAGCTAATTTTTTGTAGTTTTAGTAGAGACGGGGTTTCACCATGTTGACCAGGATGGTCTCGATCTGTNAAAAAAAAAAAGGATAAACTATAGTTCTTCCAGACAACAGAATATTATTCAGCAATAAAAAGAAGTGAGCTACCCAGCCATGTGAAGACATGAAAGAACCCTGAGTACACATTGCTAAGTGAAAAAAAGCCAATCTGCAAAGGCCACATACTGTTTAATTTCAACTATATGACATTCTGGAAAAGGTAAAACCAGAGAGACAGTAAAAATATTAGTTTAATGGGGTTAATAGGGAGGGAGGGATGAATAGATGGAGCACTTAGGATTTTTAGGGTAATGAAACTATTCTGTATGATACTATGATGGTGGTTATATGTCATTACACATTTGTCAAAATCTACAGAATGTACAACACGAAGAGTGAGCCCCATGTAAATTATGGGCTTTAGTTAATAATACCATATTGATATTAGTTCAACTGTAAGAACTGTACCATGCTAATGCAAGATGTTAGAAATAGGGGCAACTGGAAGCGACAGGTATAAGGCGCTGTAGGGGAACTTTCTACACGTTCCGCTCAATTTTTCTGTAAATCTAAAACCGCCCTTTTTTTTTTTTTTTTTTTTTTTTTTGAGATGGAGTCTCCCTCTGTTGCCCAGGCTGGAGTGCAGCTATGCTATCTCAACTCACTGCAATGTCTGTCTCCCCGGTTCAAGCAATACTCCTGCCTTAGCCTCCCGAGTAGCTGGAACTACAGGCACACGCCACCACACCCAGCTAATTTTTGTACTTTTAGTAGAGATGGGGTTTCACCATGTTGGCCAGGATAGTCTCGATCTCCCAACTCCATGATCTGCCAGCCTCAGCCTCCCAAAGTGCTGGGATTACAAGCGTGAGCCACCACACCCAGCCGTCCATTCATGATTTTAAGTGCAGGGGAGGAAGGCTTAAGCCAAAGTCAATGGGTTGAGAACTACAGACTGGATGCAATTTATTCCATCCAACCAAGAACACAGAATGGAGTGCAATGAGGGGATTTTTTTAAGCCAATGTTATATAAAAACTACAAAACTGTTTGGATTTAATTTGCTGTTGTATGAGTAATACCCAAATGTCAATTACTACCATTTACAAATAATTAGAAAATGCCTTTTATTTTCTTTATTCACAAGGTGCTAAAGCAAAGCAAAAGATCTGGGGAAAATATTTTGCTACCCAACTTCACATCCATTAGGATTTTGTGAGTAACATAATTACTCCTAAACAAAGCAAGTTGGCATCGAACATCCTTTGGGAGTTTATGCCGTTCAAGAAGCACTTATGTATTGCAAAATGCCTATGCTTAATCCTAACAAGCACAAAAGAATGACAGGCTTTAATGCATGTAACTCAATGCTGAACTTTTTACTCTTGCTTTTTGTTTTAAAAAGCAAAGAGGATGAACCACTTACTTACCTTACTGAATCAGACCAAGAACAGGTTTTTGGCCTCTCTGTTCAATGCTCTATTACTCAGTGAAGACAATCACTGATAATCACTCAGTGCTACCCACAAAAGAAACTCTGCTGCTCTACAAAGCTAAGACATGTTCAGCCACCTTCCTCTGTCCCTCTAGCCTACAAGGGTTCTTCAGAACCTGTGATGGAGAAAGAACTACAAAACTTCAGAGGGTAATACAAAGTTGTAGCTGGTCTTTGCTACCCAGGGCTCAGAGTCTAAAAAATAACTGGCAATATTTTCACTTAATGAAGCACCTGCTGCATGTTTCTCCTTTATGGGATCTACATCTATAAAGAATTTGCATCTCCATTGCCAGTATCTCGTTCATAAGTGGATGTAACAGTAACAATGATCTACCTGAACTTTGGCAATCCCTAGAGGAGAGTTTTATTGCCTATGATTAACACTTGAAAGCAAGTTAATCCAAAGAGCTGCAAATACTAGTTATGAAATAACTGTAAAATAAAATAAATATGGCTATAAAATAAAGCCACAAAAGTTTCAAGCTATAAGAGAATATAGATTATCTAAACCCAATATTATTTGTATAATTATGTATTTATGCTTAAGTTGTACTGGAAAAACACTTCTGTTTATAGATGTAAAAAACATGACTGAAGAAAATAATACACAAACATTAATATAGTATACAATGTAGCAAGCATCTCATGATATCAGAATGTCTGAAATCTGCAGACACAATGGTTGACTCCATCCTCTATATTAAGAGGTCATGTGATCTGATCAAGAGGTAGTTAGTAGTGGTAGAATACAGTAGTAGAGCTGGATGTAGAGAGAACAGAACACCTAGTTCCCCATCAGTCTTTTCCCCAGGTTACGGGCTGATCCATTCCATTAGACAGCTTAAATAACCCTTCACTCTATCACTGCAATGTTTCTTCCTATCAAAGAATTCTTGCCCCCCCAAAATAGTAATAGGCTGCCAGTCACCCAAATGCACACTCCTCAAATTCAAGGCCAAAATAGAAAACACAAGTTCAAATTCTAGAACTTGGCCCACAAGGTTCCATTCTGGGCAAGTGAGATGGGGCAGGAGTAAAAGCTCTGTATTGGCAGGGATTCCATCTCTGGCTCAAACCAGGTGGATTCAAAAGCTCTAGCTCTGCTGTTGAAGCTATGTGACTCAGAGGTAGTGCTCCCCCCAGCCTCTGTTTTCACATTTGCAAAATGAATATAAGCACATGAGATAATTATAGGTGAAGCAGTGCCTGGCATGAAGTACACCTCCGTAAGCACAGGAGTAGCAAAACATTCATTCCTACATCCTTAGTGCCCAGTGCAGTACCCAGCACACCACAGGCACACCAGACGTTTGCTGAGTGAAGCAGAGAACCCACTAAATCAAGTCTAAGATTCAATTAAAATTCCTGGGCCCAACCTGTAAGTGGGCCCCTAACTTACTCCAAACCAGGGAGCCATGTCCCCTAAACCAAGGATGGCCTTGATCATTGACAAAGGAAGAATCTGTTCATATGCTTGAAGTAAGGCACAGCCTGAGAATCTGCCTCTAAGAAGCCACATACATCAGTCTGTGTTCATTTTATCCCAAAAGATTGGCACTTTGGGCTGCTCTGGCATTCCATTGTCTCTCTCTTCATTTTTATAAGCAACAAGCTGACAAAATGACATTTCAGGCACCTGACTTTAGTAAACGCCCTTTAAAAAGGCCTGGGAACAATTCTCACAGCTAGGACTCTACTCTGCTAAGGCAACCTTTCTTAGCTGAAAGGTATCACCTACTAAGAAATCCATCATAGAAACAGATAAAGTAGGAGAGTCAGAGACAATTCCACTATCTGCCTTCATGTGGTTCCTAATTCTCAAAACTAAAAGATGGACTGAGCTATTTTTAAATGAGGAGACTGAAAACGCACCAAAAACGTTCTCACAATCCAAAGCACTCATCCCTAGAGCACACTTATTTGGCCAGAAAAAGAAACTCTCTGGCTCTGCAAAGTGAAGCAGGATGAAAAATTGCATCTCTCCCCTTGTACCAAAAGGAAAAAACGCAAAAAATGGCTTTAAAAAAGGTCCAAGAATCTTTGGAATAAGTTTTTTCTGAGGACTATGGACATTCTTTCTCACACCTTTACGTTTTCAAGGATAATGGGAGAGGTAAAAAGGAGAGCTTTGGGAGCAGGAGAGGGAGAGAGTTGGGATATGTTCATTCTATTTTTAAATCCTCGCCCACAGTTTAGAGTAAAGGAACACTCTGATTCTCTACTCCTACCCCTATCACCTTCTGCTAAACACAAGAATCAGAACCTGCGCACGTACTGATTCTAGATTTAGAGACTACTGGCTGCCAATACTCCAAGGAATCGCAAGCTAACCAAGCATTCCACCCAGGGAACCCGGCGGCCGGACGAGGCTGGAGCTGCGTGCAGAGAGTGAAGCAGTCACAACCCGCCTTTTCCCAAGGGGAGGCAGCGCCCCCTCGGCAGGGCACGCTCCATTCTCACGGCTGGGCACCCAGGGTTGAGCAATTCTGCCCCTAAAGGAGCTGGAGCTGAGGACGCGATGGGATCTGCCCGCAGGCTGCGGCGCGCTCTGCACTCTGGCCCCACTCCTGGGACACCTGCGTGCCGTGCACGCCCACGCCCACCCGCGCTCGGTCACCTCCCGGCCAACCCCGAACGCAAAAGGCGTAGCGACGGGTCTCTCTCTCCATCTGATGGTTGCTGGTCCGCCTGCTTTCGGTATCCTTCCTGCCTCGGAGGCGTCGACACCCGTCCCCCAGTGTACCGGGGGCAGAACCCCTGCGGACGCGCTGGCGACCCGGGCTGAGCGCCACCTCCCCGTACCTCCCGCCCCGGGGCCGCGTCCCCGCGGGGCTCGGGACACTCACTCTTGAGCGCGCTGATGAGTGACTTCCCGTCCTTGATGAGCTCCTTGATGAATTTGTTGGTCTTGTCCAGCTCGGCTTCGTGCGACTTGAGCGTCTCTCGGAAGTGCGGGCTATCGAGGCAGCAGTCGCTGAACTCCAGCGCGGGGAGCCCCATGGTGCCCGCGGCGCCCAGCCGGAGGGCGCGCCTCCTCCGGGGTCCCGGCCTCCCGCCGCCCAAAGCACGCACGCGGCGGGACCCCGGCCGGCTCCCCGACGGCCGCCGGCTCCACAGGTGTGGCGCCGGCTCGCCCCCCCGCGTGGTGTCGCCGGCTCGCACAACTCCGGAACCGAGCCGGGACCCAGCCGAGGGGCGGCTGCTCCGGGAGCGCGCAACGGAGCGGCTCGCGAGCAGGAAGTGCAGTGCAGACCCGCAGCGGCGCCGGGAAGCAAGCGAGCGAGCGGGCGAGCGAGTGCAGACGCCGCCTCCCCGCCTCCTTCGCTCGCTAGCTCTCGGCAGCCTCGAGCGCCCTCTCACAGAAGCCTCGGCCGCCCCGCCGGCGTCTGGGCCACTCGAACCCGCTAGCGATGACTTAATCCCCGCCGGGCCAATCAGAGCGCCCTCCCTTGCCCGACCCTCTGGCCGCCCCGGGAAGCCCGGCCCTTCCGCGGCTTGATCCAATCAAAGGGGCCTGGAGGCAGGGTCTGCGGCTGGGGGCGTGGCTCTCGCCAACGCCTAGGTCCGCAGCGAAAGCTCCGCCTCCTCTCGCCCTCCCGGCGCTGCACACCCCGAAACCTAAGGGTGAGCGCTGCAGTGCACGCCCCCCAGCCACCTTGCCCGCCTGCTCCGGCCCGAATCCGAGCCGCGGATGGCGAGTCTGCTAGTCCTGGGGGCCGAGGAGCTTCAATGTGCCAAGCATGAAAAATCTGGGAATTTGGGCTGCAGTTCGCCACCGCCTGCCCTGCACTACTGGGCAACCGATGTTATCCTCAAAATACAGTCCCCCGTCCCGGGAGAATCTCAAGCGGTGATTCTCCCTCCTCTTTCAGTCAGGCAGAAAAATGTTACTTGCATCTTAAAATTACCAGCTCTAGCAGCTCTTCTTGCCTGCAGTCTTTCCGCCCCCTATGGTCCGTCCCCCTCACCGCCACTCCTGCTCAGAACCCGCCCACGGCCCCCCTCCCCCCACCCGGCCAAAGGAGCTCAGAGCCATCCTTACGAGAATTTCAGCTGCCTGTTATTTTCCTGCTCTGCATCTAGCACAATTTTACATAATTCTGTCCACTGCCTGTCCTCCTTCGCTACACGGTAAGCCCCACGAGGGCAAGTGCCACTTCAATTTTCTTGTCCGCTGTTGCATCCCGGCACCTAGCACAGTGGCTGGCATTTAATAACAGATATTGGGCGCTTACTATGTGCTATGTGTGCTACGGCGATTGACAAATGTTTGTGGAATAAATGAATGGATCCTTCCCCAGAGCCATCTCCACCTCCCATGCCCAGTGCATTGCCCTGTAGTCCCTCTGTTCGACCGCAGGACTCAATTCTGGTATCTCACTCGTTGCAGTTGTCAGACTGCGTCCCACAGAGTGTCTAGTGCTAAATTGTGAACTCCTGGAGGATAGCGACTGTCCTTGAATAAATTATTTCTATGTCTAGGAACCAGCAACCATTTCAGCTACATGGGGGTTTCGTATTTGTTTGGGTTGGTTTGTTTTTTAACTAGGTCTGCTATGTGCAGGCACTAACCTAGATGGTAAGGACACAAAGAGGAATAACAGAATGAATGTAGCTGCTGGTGGTCAGTAGGAGAGATGGAAGCAAACAAGGAATAACCATGCCTTGTGATGGGATAGAAGGCCTGGATGCTTGGAAACATGGATTTTTCACTCAGGAGGGCTCAGAGGTGTCCCATCTATATTAAGAAAGCAACTGATTTATTAAATTCATAAATGGAGCACGGTGGCTCACACCTGTAATCCATTGCTTTTGGAAGCCAGGTGGGAGGACTGCATGGGGTCAGGAGTTCAAGACCAGCTTGGACAACATAGTGACACCCCCATCTCTACAAAAAATTGTAAAATAAATAAGTAAATGTATAAATGAGTTAATGTGATCTGTTTGATAATTGCATCTACAAATTTAGACTTGATAGCAGGCCCAGACAGCTATCTGATAGATAATTACAACCCCAAAATAATTGTTCTTCACTTGTCAAAGATGAGAAAGATCTAGAATGGAAACCCTATGAAAGTAAATCTGTTCAGTGCTTTATCTTGAGCATTTAAAGGTAGGTGTTCTGGTTATCTATCAATACAGAACAAAGGACACCAAAAATTAATGGTATAAGACAGCAGCAATCATTTTATTTTCTCTCACAATCTCTGTGGGTTAGGAATTTGGGGAGGCTGAAACCACTCGGTGGTTCTGGCTTGAGGTCTCTCATGTGATTGCAGTTGGATGGTGACAAGGTCTGGAGGAGTGAATGGTTAGCTAGGCATCTCCCACTTTTCAGGTAACTCAGGACTTCTCCATATTATGGCCTTTCTCTGTGGCCCAGTTTAGGCTTCCTCACAGTATCACAGCCTTAAGGCTCCAGTGTGAACATAGACAGCTCACAAGGGGAAAGCTGCATCACCTTTTATGATCTAGCCTTGTGAGGTGAAAGGCCTGAAGGACTTGTTTTCCAATCACAGACCCACTGATCAAACCAGGATCCAGTCAACACAGGGTGCAGTGAAGCAGCCAGCAGAAACCAGCAGATGAGGAAGAAAGAGACTTAGTTACCCTCACTACTCATTAGCATAGACACTCCCACCATTGCTATGACAGTTTATAAATGCCACTGCAAGGAGCCATGGCAATAGCCTGGAAGTTACCTTATATGGTTCTGGAAACTCCTTGCCCCCTTTCCAGAAAGTTCTAAATAACCCACCTCTTAATTAGCATATAATTTAAAAGTAGGCATAGGTACAGCTGCCAACAGCCCATACACTGCCCACTCTGAACACACTCCCTATGGGATGGCTCTCCTCTACAAGGAGCAGCACTGATTCAATGAAAGTTGCTTTCTCTCACCACTGGCTTGCCCTTGAATTCTTTTCTGGGCAAAGCCAAGAACCCTCCTGGGCTAAGCTGCAATTTTGGGGCTTGCCTGCCCTGAATCACTTGGAAATCACACACTTCTACCACTTTCATTGGCTACAAGCAAGTCATATGCCCACCCAGATTCAAAGGGAAGGAGTTGAGACTGTACCTCTAGATGGAGGAATGACAAGAATGGGAGATATTATCATAGCCATTTCTGAAAAATATAATCTGCCACAGTGGGCCTGGCATACATGGTCATATTCAATACATTTTAAATGAATGAAATAAAATGTGATCCACAATTATTTGTTTTATCTCATTTAGGAATAGTAGGCAAATGTGTATAAAATATATACATGTATTAATAATAACAACAATAATATATCAGCTATCATTTGTTAAGCTCTGAGTTTATGCCAGGCACTGTGGTAAATTATTTACATGCATTTATAGCTAGCATAGTGGCACACGCCTTTAATCCCAGCTGCTCAGGAAGCTGAGACACAAGAATCACTTGAGCCCCGGAAGGCAGAGTTTGCAGTGAGCCAAGATCATGCCACTGCACTCCAGCCTGGGCGACAGAGCCAGACTCCGTCTCAGAAAAAACAAACAAAAAAATTATTTACCACATATAATCCCTACAAGGTGTGACTGGTACTATGATAGTTCCCATTTTCCGATAAGAAATTAAGGGTCAGAGTTGTAACCTGAACCAGCTTACCCAGAAAATATTAATAATTATACGTGGCACAAACATGTAACCTAATACGCCCATTCACAGACAAATATGTAAATATGTGAATACTGTGTAAATTTCTCATAAATTTAATCTGGAATTTCCACAAAAGACCTCCCATACTTTCAGTAGTATTATCAGAAAGAGAGAATCAGAATGCAGCAATACAGGCTGGGTATGGTGGCTCACGCCTGAGGCCGAGGTGGGTGGATAGCAATGTATCAGAGACAGAGACCATCTTGGCCAACATGATAAAACCTTGTCTCTACTAAAAATACAAAAATTAGCTGGGCGTGTTGGTGCGTGCCTGTAGTCCCAGCTACTCGGGAGGCTGAGGCAGGAGAATGGCTTGAACCCAGGAGGCAGAGGCTGCAGTGAGCCGAGATCATGCCACTGTACTCCAGCCTGGCGAAAGAGCAAGACTCCGTCTAAAAAAAAAAAAAAAAGAATGCAGCAGTACAGAAACTGGCACATGGAGGGTGCAGTTGTCTCTCTCCTCCAGGAAAATCAGCTCATGAGGGTAGAGATCTTGTATTATCCAATGCAGCAACCGCAGCTTAGAACAGCAATTGGAACTTCAAAGGTGCTGAACATCAATGGGAGGGAAACATCTTTAATAAAAAAGAAACAGGACTCATGGGACAACATCAATTATGGCCATGCATGTAAATAGAAAAGAACAGTTAAGCCCCAGAAATCACTTTCATATGAAATAGAGAAACAGTTCAGGCAACATTTGGCCTAAATCCTTTGGATGAATGTCTGAATTTCTTAAAATTAGCCAATTAGTTCAAATAGTTCTGCTTTTATATATATTTTAAATCTACATTATTTCTGGTCTCAGTGGTCCAAATAACGTTATACCTGTCATGCAATTACCTCCCATTTGTAGAAACTTTACCACTGGCAAGGCACTCCCGTGTACATTGTCTCTGAGCCCATATAATCAGAAGTGGGCATGGACCAGTCACACATTGGTTCCTCAACACCAGCTCGAGAACAGATCTGATTCATAATGAAGCATTCATGGGTCCTCAAGTAACTGAGAAGTTCAGGGGTAGATCCAGCTTCAAGGCAGCCTCTGGGGATCTAGAAGATGATACCAGTACAAGGTTTCTCTCTCTATCCCTCAAGGTGACCTTTGTCTGCAGTGGCTTCATTCTCAGTGGCTCTCTCAGCTTCTCCAAATTACATCCAGCAATATTAGCAGGAAGACAGTTTTCTAAGAATTCCAGTAGAAATGACAAGGCTGGAGTCAAGGATAAAACAGCCCCACTCCAAAAACATAAAGTACTGGGGAGAAGTTGTTCCACCAAAGGACAAACACAGTGCGTTTGGCAAAGAAAGCAGGGATCGCTGCTGCACAGGCAGAAGCAATAATGTATAGTACACTGACCCGTCCCCAACTCCCTTACAATGAATGCTCCTCCTGCCACATTCCCATGGTCCCATAATTCAAGTTAGCACATATTCATTCTTTTTTATGGTTGATACCATATGTTGTGCTACACAGTGACTTCTCCTTCAGTTTTCCTATTTTAAAATAACAATTTGTGGTTGATATAAATGTTCTATAACTCAATTGGTGATGGTTACACAGGCATTGCATTTGTCAAAACTCACGGGTGCATTTTATTGTGTATAAATTATACCTCATTAAAGGTTGATTTTAAAAAATAATGATGATGACAGTGATGCTGATATTAAGCTTTTGCTGTGTAGCAGGATCTGTGCTAAGCACTCTATTACAT